TATAAGACCAACACCGTGATTTTCGCGGAGGAATAAAATTTCCCAGTGGAACACAAACGTCACATGGCATGCGTTCTAGTGACGCCGACCATGCCTTCTAACGACGCAGGTCACGCGGCCAGGAAGTGGAGCGCATGATACATTACAAGTGCGGACAGCCAGACCCAGAAGTATCCGTGAGACAAGACTTAAAAAGTCGCCAGGGAGGCTCCCCACAACATACACTGACTGAGGAAGCCCCCACCATAGGGTGAAACGCGTATCGTACCTACTAGCCATCAGGCCGTGCCAACATTGGACCAATCTGGACTTATTTGGACTTTTTTCTTTTAACCATCAAGTATTTTATTTTAGTGCACACTGTGTAATTTGTTCATTTTATTTCATGTAATAAAGCCTTTTATATTGGTATTGGTATTAGTCATCAACTGGGCACTCTGCTTCCAAAGTATCTGGTGGTTTTCAAACACGACCACCAGACATGTAACATAGTACCTTCCAGCTCTCCACAATGACAGCAGGTGCAAGGTATGTTGGGATATATATGATGGAGTTTACTAGGTGTGAGATACCATCGGTAAACTAAATTTCTATGGGCTACAAGATGGTTATAACAACGAGTTGCCTTCTTCATTGCGTTAATAGAATATACCCAATCTTGGGTGGTAAATTCAGTTTCCATTGTTGCATAAAAGAAAAAGGTTTGTCTAAAAATGTAATCACCCTTTGTAACATAAAGTTAAGATTTTTAGTTTTAACAAGGAACTCCATATCAGATACATCAATCGAGAGGATCTATCTAGGGTAGGAGAGATCACAGGTGTGGAGCATACATGAGATGTTAAATTGCCTTTCTTTTGTAGTTATGGAAAGATAAATCTAGAGGACAAATTGAATTTGTCTTTCAGCTCCGGGAATAATGTCAAGGTGACCTGGGTATAAAACTGTGAGACATTGGTAAAGCCAACTTTTGTCCACTGTGAAAGAGACAACCATGAGGATATTGTCCTCAGAGCTGACAGCGGTGGCATAATATGAAATTTATTATGTAAGTACAATTTTACATGAAAGTGATCACATACCTTTAGCATGTTTTCACTTGTAGGATACATGAGACATTCACTTCTCCGTACAAATGCCAGTGTCCACATTATGTCTACCAAATCCTTCTATTTTCATTGGTATCTCTCCATATCCACCCATTGTAAGGTACCCATGGAGCATGGAGCAGAACGAACAGGGGGAGGACTGCTGCTCTACAATAACTTTCATTGTTCATTGCTAGAGCTGTAAAGGGAGCTTAGCTTTCTTATTTTACCAAATAAACTTAGTAAGCAGGGACTGGACTGTCGCACAGAAGAAGGATGGTATACGAATAGGAAGTATTCTAAAAACATAAAGGATTTTTAGTAATAAACTAATCTTTTATGTGTTTATTCTACCTGCCCATGAAAGCATAACATTAGACCATTTTGAGTTTTCTTCTTTGCAGCTCATTAGCAGTAGTTTATAGTTATGTGTATAAATGCCACTTATTGTGAGGTGAATTTTGAAGTATGTGAGAGTAGAACCTCTACAATCAAATTTGTAATTTTGCCTTAAAGATACAGTCTCTAAATGACCTACCGATAATGTCTGAGTTTTGGAATGGTTTCAATTATAAAAAGAAAAGGTGCCATATTCCTCTAAAGTGGCGTGTAGTTCCAGTAGTGATTTGTTGGGGTTACTTAACTTGAAAATAATTTCATCAGCGAATAAGGAAAGGCGGTATTCATTGTCCCCAATCCTTGTTCCTGTGATGTCCTGATGTTTTCTAATTTGTTGGGCCAAGGTTTCTATAGATAAGATGAAAAAGGAGGTGAGAAAGGGGACACCCCTGACAGGTGCCATTTGTGATTTGAAATGGCGTGGAAAGAAACCCAGCACTGGAGAGTCTTGTGCCCTTTTTCTAGAGTATTGCTGCAGCTTATAGGTGACAGATGTGCAATGAAACGATTATGTTCAATAGTAGCATTATAATGCGTGTTTCTTTACAATGTTCAAACAGACATTTCATGTATTGTATAATTTTCACTATGCTACACTTTAATGACAGTGCGTGTTTGTCATTTAATTGGTCTAGTGGATAGAACCAAGAATCTTTAGTTAACATTACTTGTACAAATCATCAAGTCAGGGGAAGAGTTGATGGTGCTCATTTTGCTTACACACAAATACATGTGTACTGTTATTTGTTAGATAATTTCAATCTATTTGAAGAGTTAAAGTTGTTAGGTTTTAGAAGGTCTTATTAAAATTAAAAACTCTGTTTTGGCCAGATTGTGATTGTCAAAACTTGAGTATTTAAAGTAAGGTGTAGGGCATGTTTTCACCAAACCAATACTGTTAAACGTAGCGTCGGGATGTATCAGAACTGTGGTATTATATTTGTGTTGATATTGTTAAGATGCCAATAAACGTCAGATATGAGATTTTTTTTTTATTTACCTTATATGATTGGCTACCTATAAAAATGTTTACAGACATACAATGTTGAGAGTACATTATTTGCACTTTTCCAAAATTGCCACCAAGCCTCCTTTTTTTCATTGCGGTAAGCTGCTTATTGTCTGAGATGCGGTAATTACTGGCCAGCACTTCACAAGACAGGATCGAAAACCACCCACAAATTGCCTCTTGGTTACATAGTCAGGTATTTACATGTTTGGTTCCAGAGCCAGGTATTTACATGTTTGGTTACATCGTTACTGCAATTTCTGGATGCTCCTTATAGCACAGCTGCTTCTATGTGATAGGGTATACCGAGTATTAAAGAATGTTTAATATATCTATGATCAATGTTTTATTCCATTTTTTGGGTTAGGCCATTGACCATAGGCCTGAGCACTCATTAGAAATCATCAAGATATTCTAAGCTTTTCTAAAAAAAAATTTCCTGGTGAATGAGTACGATATTTCAACAGAAGAGAAGTACTGAAATTTGGTAGCAGATTATCTAGAACACCAACAAGGTTATTTACAAAAGTGAATCTGTCACATCCTGTTCCTGTTTGCGGATCATTTCTGGCAATGGCTTCTGGTATCCGGTACTCTTTTTACAATTCTTGTTTAGTTTTTCTTGTTTTTTCTGATTTTCTATTCTATGTCTGGTTTTCTTTATGCTGGGTATTCTGGGTTCATTCCGTTATTCCGTTCCTGGAATTCCCAGTCTCTTAAATTCCTTTAAATGTTTGTTTTTTGTTGCCACACCCATTAATTTGCCATTAATCCTTTTTGTTTCAGTCTGTTCCTGCAAGCGGTGGTCTAATTTCCTCTGCTCCTTTCTTTGCAGGTAAGTACTGTGTGTGTTAAATTGTTGTTTATTTAGTTATGTATGTCTAGGCAGTTAGGACCCACCGTAATTGGAATACTTTGGTGCAGTGGTGGGCTGCATACTTCTTGGCCCTTTATGTACGTCTAAATCTCCAATTTTTATTACATATATAGTACTTAGTTATGTCTCCTCTTATTTTGCCTTGTATCTCTTTTCTTGTTTTATTTTGTCTTGTATTCCAAGTTCATGTACAGTCCTGTCCAGCCCTCTCCATGTTTTCATCATGTATTGTGTACATGTTCTGGGTTCTGCTTTCTGTCCTGCTCCGGTTCTGGGTTCTTCTAGTCTTGTCTTGTTTTCTTGTTTGGTACCTGTTCTAGTCTTACCTTGTTCCTAATACTGGATACATATCGGTATATCATCTAGCTCCTGGCTTCTGCTTAAACTGCATCAGGGCTCTGGTACGTGGCCGCACAAACCCTGGTGCTCAGCACCAGGGGGCGTGTGGTTATCCTGCACCAGACCCTGTATGTCCATTTCCATGCCGAGACTCCTATCTTCATCATCAGGCATACAGGGGCCCCGGTCTTCGAACCGCCACCCGTGACAGAATCAAATCAAAGTAAATTCAATGTGAATTTTAAATTTAAGGTCAAAATAACTGGACTAGAAAAATTCTGTAAGTCGGCTATGCTTTCAGTTCGGATACTCTGGCTTTGAATGTAAAATTCTCCTTGAATTCTCGCTTTAGTAAATAATGCTGCCAGAATAACAATTAATGGAACCGTTTCCATTAAATTTAAATTACACAAATCTCACTTTGGAAAGATGCCAACATGTACAAGCACGAGATAGATTAGGATATATATGTATGCAGGCCAAATTTCCTACTTTGCTATCAGCATAAAGCATTATTGCTCAGCTGTCCAGACACAAAGATTTGCTGTAGTCTTCGAATCACTTTATACTTTAGGCTGAATTCTTTGAATAGAATGGTTATTCCAAAAATAGAATTAGCCATAGCCCACCTGTCACTCGGCAACTGCACAACACTAGCTGTGTCATATAATCTGTAGTTAGACAGAGCAAGGACAGAAAACTAATATGAGGATGAGACATATTACACACACACTTATATTTATGTATACACACATAATAATTGATAACACTTCCAAAAAAATCTTTACTAAAACATACCCAACAAAATTGATGTATCAACCCTATAGGGTCATTATCATCCTGATAATGACCCTATAGGGTCAGAACTAATTATTATGTTTATTCATATTTTCAGGGGTTAGCATCTACACATATTGCAGATTATTTATATTTTTTGTTGAGTGTTGGAGTTTTGTATATTTATATGTGTGTGTGTGTGTGTGTGTGTGATAGACTGTATATATATATACTGTAAATAAATAAATGAATATATATATATATATATATATCAACCTTATTCAAAGTATAAGATGTAATTTTATTTTGTCACAAAAATGCGTAACTTTGCATTTATCTACATTGACTTTCATTTTCTACCTGCCTGTCCTGTCTCCTTGTTTATCCAAATCCCTGTGAAGAAATCCTGTTCAGACTTACTTAACCATATGATACTTCAAATATTGACACTTGATTTTCAATGCCTTACTCAAGAAAAATCAAATATATAGAATAGAACTGTTTTCAGCCATTGATGTACAAAATAATTTTAATGAGTACAACTCAGAATATAGGTCACACAATGAAACATTTATTAAAAATCAACAGTTTCGTTCCATAGCAAGAAACACTTGAATCAAAGTGCCCTTTAGAATATCAGAAATAATGGCAAACAATTCCTTTACACTATTTTACATTACACTTATAAATCAGGATAAACGCCACATTTCGCACAGTTTTGTAATTTCAAAATGTTGTTTTTTTGTTTTTTTATAGGACAATTGTAAAATATTTTTGAACTTTAAAAAAATTTAACTTATTTATTTTTATTTTTTTTACAGTAAACACTATACAAATGAATTACCCCTGAATTTGACAAGTCAGAGAAAAAAGTTGTGTGCAAGGTATGTGCAATAGTTACAGCGTGTCCTCAGTATCGATTTATCCATTGCAATGGTCACTATATTACATACCTTAGAATATCATTGTGACAACTTTTGCTTAAAAAAATACCCATGGGCTGTCATTGTACTCTGCCACAAATAGCAGCGCTGGACATCATGAAATGAATATATGTTTTAACGCAAGATGCTTTGATGACACTTCGATGTTACAGGTAAGCATTAAGTTCCTTTAATCATTTAAGTGACTGCCTTAACAGTACGCTATGTTTAATAGGAATCGTTAAATGCCAAAAAAACGTGTGGCTTACATGGAGACAGTCTGCATTTCACGTTTATATCATCGGGTAGTGAATATTTACCAATCATGCTTTAAACTGCAGGTTGTTAGGGTAGATGCAGTCAAAAACCAGTTATAGGTTTTCTATGACAGATCATTGGCTAATAAAGATTACATTGAGTGTATAAAAGGCAATGGCTCAAACACAAAGCGACAGAGATTTGAGGCAGAGTGCTCACCATAAAAAAAAAATTACTAATCAATCGAGCAACATGGAAAAATGAAATATAAAGTGCCCAACCAGATGTATGTGTGTTTAATTGAATATGTATGCATAGACAGAAAGACAAACAGACAGACAGATGAATGGATGATTGGACAGATAGACAATTGAAAAATCACTCTTTACCTTTATCCCTTCCATTGAGTAAAATTAAGAAACTCCGAGAATCAATGTATATCTACCTCAGAAAAATCCCAGTTTAATATACAATTAGGAGATATTTGTGTCCATGTAAACTACACTTCAGCTGACTATATTCCTAATAAAAGCATAAAAAGAAAATGTTAAAAAGCAAAATGATTGTCCTCGAAAATTAAGAATCAGTTTCTGTCGTTAATGAAAGTGATTGTTTTGTTGAGTTATATAACGAAGAACTCTCTGCAGTGTCTGTCATCTAAAATGTTCTTTATGTAAATATATTAAAGGTATCTGTAACTGCTATATATGATTATTTTTTTCAGGGTGTCATAAGTCATCTTGAAATTGCACCATTTGTAAAATCTATAGAAGCAGTTGATGACTTACAAAAATAAAATCTTGCAGTGTGAGCCAATGAGAAATTGTAATTTGTAAGTTGAGGTTATACGCTCCATGTATTGCACTGTACAAGGAAAAGGATCCACAGTATTTGGACAAGAGGATCAAGTTAACTGCCCAAGGTGTCAACAGTAAATCAAGGTTAGCTTTTATTAAATTTGTTTAGTAAAACTACTTTAAAGGAACACTCGGGGCACCATAACAGCTTCATCAAAATAAAGTTGTTATGGTGCCAGGAGGACCCTGGTGCTAGCTCACCTTTAGGGGTTAAACTGCTCTTGAATAATTGAACCCCAAACTCAGAATTCTAGTGCCCGATCCCCCTGCCCCACTGCTCTTCTGTTTGCCTCAAGGTCTGGAAACCGGAAGGAACCTTAGTTCCATATGTTGGTGAGTGTAAGAATGATGTAATATATTATACCTGTGTATTCTTAATGCTTAACTTAAATCACCAAAATGTGATGGTTGGACACAAGCTGTCTATATTTTAACATATCTCAGGTTTATGCAATTTTGCCACCATTCTATAACAATATACACAGTGTTTGTTTTTTTTAATCCTTACCCATATTTTAACTTTTAATAATAATTTAGTAATATGATATTTTCAGTTTTTAAAATCACCATGTTTTTTTATCAGTTTGTAAAAGGTCTCACTACTTAGAATTAAGATTTTGTTTTAGATTAACATATACGTAAGGGCTTTTAAAAGCCTCTTTAATAATAATAATATATTTTTCATCAGACTGCAAAAACATGATTTTATTTTTTTTTATTACTTTCTACATCATTAAATAGCTGTTTCGACAGTTACAGAAAAATATTTAAATGTACAGCATTTTGTTATTTTTTTATATATATCTGTCCATTACATTCATCCTTTGAATACATCCTGAGGCTTTTGATTTATGGCACAACTATTAAAGCTCATTTGTTATCTTTAAAAAAAAAAATGTAAGAAACTGATAATTTAAAGGTTTTTAACCCCTTAAGGACACATGACATGTGTGACATGTCATGATTCCCTTTTATTCCAGAAGTTTGGTTTATTTGTTGCCGTTTTTAGCATTCAACTTCAAGTTATAATTCAAAATGGTCACTTTTTTGCCGATAAAAAGGCACAGCAATTTAAATAGGTGGTTTTCCACTATGAATGCCAACTCATTCCCATCAGCCATCACAGCATGAAATTTGAATGGCAGCAGACATCATCTGCATTCTCTCACATGATGCAAAATTGACTTGCGTGCATGTATTGGAAGATGCAGATGATTGGCCTTGAGTGCTCTTCAAATTATTCAGTGTCATATTCCATGAAGACAGGGTAATAATGGAAGGACATTGCAATCAAGCTCGTTCAGGGTTTGTATAAAGCTACTTGTCTGCATTGAACTTATATATGTTTATATGCTTAAAATCCTAGTGTCGACTCGAATCAATAAAGCATAATTCGCTGCCAATATGTTGTGCAAATAGTCTTTAAAGTCATTCTGTATTCCTTAAAATATTTTAAATTATACATATGTGCATACATTTTCTATATCATGCTTACAAAATATTTTACAGCATTCGATTCATCTTGTCCTCCTAATTTATTAATCAAACGTATTTGTTACTGTCTTTCATCTAATGCATCAAGCTGAAAATAGAATTTTTGTATTTTTTTTTAAAACACACAGTCTCAAATGTATTGGCGATCAATAAATTAAAGGGACATAGGCATGAGAAATATAAAAGTTCTATTTTTGTTTTCTCTGCAGCACACGAATATCTACAAATATATACCAGAAACAGATGTTAAGGGTGGCATATTATGTGCGAGCAGTGCATTGTGGGATGCCATTTGTGTCATCTATGGGTGGACAGAGACACCAACTTTCAAGAGGCAAATACAGCCTTCAGGTAATTAATCTATGCATTTGTTGGAGACTTCGACAGCATAAGGTATAAATCGTTTGCTAAGTATTATCTTGCAAAATTATCTATATGTTGTATGCACAACAGCATCATTATAACCATTTTAAAAACATTCAACATGACATACAGGCAGGATTTTATGCTCTTTAAAAAAAATGAGACAGATCCTCTTTGAGAATAGTGTATTTGTCATTATATATACACATGTTCATTTGCTTCTTTTTTGGAATCTTTGTACAATATATATCTTAAAAAATACACGCCTGATGTAGGCATCGATTAGAAAAAACAACAACACAGATTTACTGTTTGATTGTCGATATGATTGTCAATGTTAAACATGAAATTGATACAGCACCTGATGTGCCACACTTGCATTGGCAAAGACAAAGAAAGCATATCTGCTCTTCCAAAGGACACTAAACATTTCTCTTTGTAGGAACTCTGGAGATCCCCTCAATAGAGCGGGTTAATGGCTCAGGCTTTAAAGACAATAAAAGAATCCTATAAAACAAAATCTGCACACTTGAAACCTCTTACCACTGTGATCCATGAATTGAACAAAACAGCCATTCAACACTTGGGTATAGCTTAGAAGTCCAATGAAAGATAATGACATTGTCAGAAGTTCTGGAGTCGGTGCTCCTCCCAGCCAAGATTCTATGGCTGGGGTGGCAATATTTACATTCCCAATCCAATGGAGATGGTACAATTTACACAGTCACAGCTGGGTACATCTTCTGTTCAGGATTACTGTGAGGGTAGGGTGATTGCATTGGTCGGTATCCACCTTGTAGTCCATCTAAGAACTGAGGCATAGGGGTCATGGTTACAGAGTCATGAGGTACAGCATAGCCTACAAACTGAGGATGTAGGTATTGTCCTTGGTGTGGAACAAGTTGGGTGGCTTGTTGACAGTTCAACACAGAGTAATTGGTAGGCATATTTACATAAACATTATTCATAGCTCCTTCTGGCAAACAGCAGTTGGTTTGGGATCTTGTAGGAGGTGCCCTGGCACCCGAATTGGCACTGGAACTGGAGCTGGCAGCTGTGCTTGACTGTCTAGAGGAAGAGCCACGTGAGGTACTAGCACTTGAGATCATGGGAATGGTCTCCATTAGACGATTACTTCCAGGTGCTCGACTCTGCTGAGGCTCCTGTTTTGGCCTGAGGCATCGGCAACAGCAAACAGCGACCAACGACCCCAAGATGATAAATGCCACAAAAACAGAACCTACAATTAGAAATGGGACGTAGATAGGAACTGCAAGAAAAATGAAAAAAAGACATGAATTAGAACATAATATTACCGGAACTGTTAACATCCCAATCAACAGGACAATTAAAGCTATTAAATTTCTGGTGAAAACCACATTGTGCAACATAGCATTGCTTGTATATCTTTAATTGTAAAAGGGTTGATACAGACATCTACATTTTTGTTTAATGTATTTTACTTTAATTATCTAGATCAAAGCTTAAAGTGTACCAATTGTACTCCTAATTATACAACATTTTGTAGACTTTTGTTTTGGTTATAGGACATTATTATTAGTAGTATCATCATTACTACTGTTTTTAAGTTAAATTGCTGGCATTATGAACCATTAAATATTGCCTACTTATGTGGTCCTTAACAAATTGATATATAATTTATCATAAAGAATAATGATCTTTTACATAACTGCTTCAAAAAGATGCTAACCAAAGATGTTTGCACCCAAACCTGACAGCAGGATTGTGGGTATTAAACAAATTTTATGTCCATTTCCCTCTTCCAAATTCCTCCCCTACTAACCAATTGTCAATGCTTGGAAACACTTCCAAAAGGGAAGGGGCTATCAGGGGATGTAACTTTTGTAGGGTTTTTATGTTTTAAAGGTATTTTGGGGGTTTTGTAATAATGTATGTTTTTTGTGTGTGGATATAATTGAGTTAGTACAGTGCCTGACTCAATTATCTCTCAGGCACAGGGAAGGGATTACCCTGTTTTGTGTGGAAGTGTCCTGAACCTGAGAGCCAATGTAATTACAGTGTGTACTTTGTCATAGTCCCCTTTCAGGTCCAGTGGGGAATGCCCCTGATATATGTCATGGAAAACCCCTTGCATGGGGACTTGCATATAAGGCAAGTTGTGGCTGCCATTAAACAGTTCCTCTTCACCCTCCACATGGAGCCTCGCCTCATGTGTGGAGGGGACAGCTATATTCACTCTGGGGATTGCTATATCACTATACTTTCTTGGATTACAACACTAGCTTGTGTAAGAGCTATCCTTCTATACTCTCTGGAGTAGGAGAGGTCAACCCACTGAAGCTGGATCCCCGACTTGGGTCCAGAGTGGGTAGAGGACAGCAAGATGCCAGCCAAGCTGCGTCGGCTGTGGGGTTAATGGTGGTTATGGTTTTCCAGTGCAGTGCTTATGGTGCTTGCAATTACTAGGAAGCAGCAATTGGTGGAGGCACCCAGTTGGGGCGCCAGGCAGACCGTTACAGGGATCTGGATCCATAATTCAGACAATCTGACTTCATTGCTTTATTGCCAGAGAATCAGTGTCAGAATTAAATCTGCAAAATAATCACAACTACAGCACGTGTGCTGTAGTTGCTGTAATGTACTTAGAATTTTAAGTAAATCCATATCTTATAAGAAAATGTATACATTTGCTAGCAATTCCATTCAAACGATGCATAGTTGAAAATGCACAGTTCATTTGTATGCCATCACAGGTACAGTTTAAATATGTCATCTGGCTTGCAAAAATGTATGTGGTCACTATCAAACTAATTAGTTGGTACAGTTGGGAGGCATCCTAATGCTTGTTTCCCCAAGACCTAAATGACCACATCGAACTTCCAGTATTTATTTAAATGATTCTATAAAATCAGTAAATAAACTTTCATGTTCAGAATATCATACCTCACACCATGTTTAGTGTCTCCTAAGTTACATGTTCTTAAAGCTTTTCAGATTCACTGGAAACCTCCACAAAACTCAAGATAAAAGTAGATATCTATCCTAGAAAGTGTCCCATCTATCCAGGAGATTTGGGAGTAGAGAACACACCAACTACGTCATCCAGAATCAAAAAGATGTCCTGTCTATGACAAGGTGACCAGAAAAATATTTTTAATGACAGGTGGTTACAGACATTTCATACAGCATGTCATCACTAAAATCAATGCTGTATGGGTGTGATTAATTTCATACATCTTCACTATCAGAAGATTGCAATCTGGTCACCTATGTTTTTGCGATTACCACCAAATAACTTTCAGAAAGAGCAATCTTTAGACATAACAAATGACTGAATATATTTAATTTAATTAAACTAAACTAGAATTTTGTGAAGCAGCAAAATCAGTTTTAAAACATAAACATGTCATCTATATGTTGCTATAACTGTTTGGAAATAAATTAATATAATTTAGTAATTAAATTTTCTAACAAAGGACATGCTGTACGCGTTGACTGTGGTAGATAGCTAAGTGTCTGCTTATAAATTCATTAGGGCAGTCATCCGCCAGGTGGACGAACAGTGCAGGTGAAGCGATTTTGAAATTTACAAATTATTTTACGATTTCCCCAGAACTGCTTAGAACTTTAGGCACTGCTGCCAATTTTAAAGTATTATCAAAAGTTACTCAACATAATATTATAATTCATCCCAGAAATTATCTCGTTAAATGTCTCCATTGGGCCCTTAAAGTTCAAGAGCAAGACCAATAGATTTTTCTGAAAAACATGCATCCATTTGTGGATCCCCGCGACCTGGGTAGTGTCGCCAGTGTATACATTACAATGGATATGTGTAACGCGGCCCTGGCCCGCGCTGTGTAACCGCAGGGGCCACATGTTCAGGAGCCAATCAGGTGGCCCATGCTGTTAGGGCCACCAGATGGAAATTAATTTCCAGGGGGCCCGGTCAGCTTTACGTTTTAACAGCGCGACCAGGACCTCTTTGATGATGCCAGACGCTGGGAGGAAGTAACTGCCCCGGTCACTTCCTCCCAGCAATCACCGTGCCGTGCGGGAGGAGGAAGGAGAGGAGGGTGTCAGAGTGGGAACTCTGACTCCCACCAGCCTGAGCCACTGGCCCCCGGGGGAAAAAAGTAGGAAACAGGAGGGTAACTTAAACATTTTGCACGTGTGTGTGTTAGTGTATGTGTGTTTGTGTATGTGTGTCTGTTTGTATATTTCTGTGTGTGTGTATGTATGTGTGTATTTGTTTATGTATGTGTGTGTGTGTATGTATTTGTGTGTCTGCATGTCTATATGTGTCTGTATATATGTTTCTGTGTGTGTGTGTGTCTCTATGTGTGTGTCTGCATGTGCATCTGTTTGTCTGTATGTCTGTATGAGGAGGGGGGGACTTATGGGGGAGTAGACGTATGGGGAGATAGATGTGTAAGGGGGCCCCTGGGCAATTTTCGGGAGGGGGACCCCGTGGTTTGTAGTTACTCCTCTGCATGTATCACTTTATATGTAAGGAGGCATCATATTGACTTTCTCTTTTTTATGTGAACTTCAAAAGAAAAATCCTGTTTACAAAAGAGTACAATGTATTCTGCTGGAGCCAAGCGGACATTCTCTTGCATACATCCTGGTAATTGACCAAGCTCCAATTTTAAAGTCTGAAATTAAAGAATCATGCCAAAATAGAGGAAGTAATCCTGAAAGAGGATTGTGTGCATTGAGCAGGTGGTATTATTTCACTTATTGAAACAATTTTTTCATTAGCACGCAGAGCTCTGATACTGGAAAAGCAATGTATCAAAATAACTTTAACGATAACAATAATGTTTCCACGATTTTCGAGAGTGTCAACAACTTAACTCATTGACTTTGCTTCTGTGACTGATGCTCTTATTCTGTGGAAGGAGGAATAATGTCTAGCGGTTCTCACACGCTAACTCTTCTTGACAACAGTAGGAATTGGCATAAGAACACTGTTGGATCTGTTTTTTTTTTTTTTCGTTTGCAAAATGTATCCTCGAGTTGGACTCGAGGACTAGTAATAAGTTCAATTGAATAGCAATTCACCAGCTGAGGTCTATGGGAGACCTGCTATTCAATTGCCAGGAATAAATTCTCCTTTTTAAATAGAATATAGCCCTAATTGTGTTGAAATTTACCTCTTGATCACACTTTTAGTCAGTTTTGCAAATGGACAAGGTATACAAACCATAGCATGGTCCGGAACAACTGACTAGAACTAAGATGTCCATACTTTGTCCTTTTAATATGGAAATTTGACTCCTGCATGGTAACTTCTCCTTGACTATAAATCCAATCAAATTATGTAGGTAAAACTCTGGCCCAGGGTTATGGGGTTATCCTGGTAATTGTAAGGTTAGGAATTGCATGACATGCTTTCAATTAAAGGATTACACTAATTTGTCTCCAAAATGTGTATTTTGAAGCAAAATAATCCCAACCAGTGCTGTCATGTCAGTTTTTATAACCTTACTACCAACCAAATTCAAATTACACTTTTAAGTCGCAATAAACATAAACACAGCTCCATGAACTTGTTATCCAGAGATTACGTTGTGTATTGAATTTTGAAGGACACAAAACAATGATTGATTTCCTTTGTGACTAAAGGTTTAATAAATCTCCATGGTATCACACACTACCAAAAGGATGTAGACACATATCTCTTGTGTCTGCATGAAACAAACAAGTAATTTGATTTCAATACAATACTTTTCAAGCTGCAAATATGGGCAAATATAAATTTAATGAGACCATTATCTTTTTTTGAGCCAGTGAAAGACACCTAACATGCACAGAATTGATATTCACCAATGACGTCCCATTGGCACTGGAGGTATATAGAGGGGTGAAAGTCTGAATGTGCATGGCGTCATAGCGAAACGCTGCTTCAAATCAGTGAAGTAATCACGATGCTTGTAGTAACCCTTTCAGAAATATATTTTGTTCAGGTATCTACTAAACAGAGACAAGGAGCTGAAGACCAGACCAAACAAGTAGACACTGGAAAGGATAAAGAGGGGTTCCAGTATGTATCTACATACCAATATCCCACCACAGAATAAAATGATAAAGGGTAACTCCAACCACCACGACCACTTATGTTTTTCAAAGTGGTCATGGTGGTAGGAGTCTGTATGTGCAGATTTTTTGTTTGACATGCCGCACATACTGAGATATTTGCACTTGGGGTTAGTTGCACCACTAGCACACGTGACTTAAGCAGATTGGAACTCTGGGCTGCCTTATGTAAATTCTGTGCCATAAATTATGTCTATAGTCAATGCGCACAGCACGCAGGCAGTAGACATAATTAGCTTCTCCCTTGCAGGCTGAACACTGTAAAGACTGCCTTTTCAGAAAAAAAAGCAGTGTTAACATTGCTGTATAGGAACACTTCTACTGGCAGATGCTCCGCATGGAGGCATTGAACATTCCCCATAGAATTGCATTGATTCAATGCACCTCTATTAGATGATGCTGATTGGTGCAGAATGGCAACAGGCAACAGCCTCCCAAAGCTTTCCTATGAAATACTCATTTTTAATATGAGTTAATAACAAGTTCATTCAGCGTTTGTCAAACTGTTGCATATTAAATTGCTAGGCATTACGGAACCTAATCAAAATACACAAGGTAATCTGTGTGATTAGGAAGGTGCTTCACCGTGTATAGTAATTAGACCTGCTACTACATTTCATTGGGAATCTCTCTCACCCACCTCAAGACATGCACAAAAGGAAAGTGGAAGGAAGTCAAACAGCCACCAACATCCAGAGTGGAGCATAAGTGGTTCTAATATGAACACCTACCCTAGATGAAACGCAGGAGCATCTAATAATAACTGGGAAAGAAAAAAGATAAGACCATATAGAGTAAAACCATATGACAATATGATAAAAGTAGGGTATAATTAGTTAAACTCACATGGATATGAGCCTCAATGGACAGGCTCACATCATAGGCGCGATAGCGTAATGACGCCTCAACGTGGAAGGAGCTGATTGAAGTACGCACACCTCTGGCCTCTATATCCGACAGGTCGCGGATGGAATGCGACCACAAATAGGAGTCAAGACCGGCATATTTAAAAGGAGGCGTGAAGGAAGCAGATTATAACGACTATACCAATTGATAAAGCCCTAGGATAGGGTGAAATGCGTCTCGGGAGGAGAAGGTCTTGAGGACCTTTTTCCTGATATTTAGCACTTTACTCATATGTTTTTATGTTTTTAACAAGTTATTTTTAATAAATAATTTGTTGTCCAACAAGCTGTTCTGATTATCTGCTTTCAAAAAGGGCTGTGCCCCTTTGTAGACACTTGGCAGTGACACCGAGAGCCAGGTCTTGTGGGCTCTAGTCAAGGTGAGCAGCTAATTATTGGTTATATGAGCACACAGTGTGTGTCTGGACGTAGTTTGTGCCTCTTCTTTCCATTGTTATCCTTTGAGGATACTACCCAGGAAGCTAGAGTAACAAGGGGGATTGTGTCATCTGAGTATACTACTGAGTACATAATTTGAGCCTGTCCCTTAAAGCTCATATCCATGTGAGTTTAATTAGTTATACCCTACATGATTAAGGCCTCATGGTCGAAACGTACCATAGTTAAATATACCTTACACCCTGCCCTGTGTAGCCTGTGGCTCTATACTTCTGGATTTATATTGGGGGCTAGCAGACTTCCCCCACAGAGCTCCAGTGCATCATGATACTAGTGTGCATCATGATACTAGTGTGCATCACTCCAATATCTGGTTAGTCATACCCTACTTTTACCACATTGCCATATGGGTTTACACTATATGGTCTTCTCTTTTTCCCCAATTTATTGTTCCTGCATTCCTATTTAGGGTAAGTGTTCATTAGAACCACTTACGCTCCACTCTTGAGGTTGGTGGCTGTTTAGCTTCTTTTTACTCTCTTTTAGTGCATTGAACTTAAACCTGTAAGTAAACTTATTTAAATCTTGTATCTTTAACTAAAATTGCAGTGTACATGAAAAAAGATAAATGTGAAAATATGGTGAAAATGTTCCCTATTGTTACCAAAATGGCGAACTCTTTATCTCCCTGCCTGGTAGTTCTTTGCAATAGAACACATTAACTTTCATATAATGGATAATTAGATGGGGTTAAATTGGCGCTAGCTGGCATTTAATCCTAATTTATCATGTTGTTTTTGGAGCTAGCCTCGAGAAACCTAAAAGAAGACTGTTTTGACTTGCTACAACGTTTGCTTTCACATGTCATTCATAGTTTGCAATTTATTCTCATTCATAGTTTGCAATTTATTCTCAACAGGGTAAAGTTTAAGTTTGTAACTTTTTTTTTTATGTCTTCCTTATGTAAGATTGCGTACAGCACAATAAGAGCAGAAATAATTAATGTACAAATACAGAACATTATGTACACGTGTATTACTAAAGGCGAATGGCGTTATGAACAAAGGGAACCAGTAAAACAACTCAAAAGAACAGACTTTTCTCATTATGAAAACGTTCTACAGATATAATACAACAACATTGTGATGAAGACCATGTCCATATCCTACTAAACCTATTTTGGATTCATGACTGGTAGTTTTATGATTGTTATATATTTATTATTTGCTATATGTTTATAATGGAATATTTTCTGTGTTACTGGAACTTTTTTTATTGAGCATATCTTTTTAAATTCTAAATAAAATCTATCTGGAACAAAACTTACATTTAGGACACAGGTCTACCGTAACATGTAAATAAAATACTGTGTCCGTGTTCTAATAGGTTTATTCACTACAGGGAGAAGTCAAGATGAATTTCAAATTAAGGTTAAAGAAGATCAATCCTCTAAATCAGCTATGTTTTCCGTTCAGCTGCTTTGGTCTTAAATTTGAAATTCACTTGGAATACACCTAGAATTCTCACTTTAGCAAATAACCCAGTAAGTATTTTCAGTAACTGCCTCATAACCTCTGCTCCAGACCAGACTAGTGGCGTTACTGGGAGGTGAGGGGGGGAGAGGGGGCAGAGCGGGCCATGTACCTACATCATGCAGTTCCCCTACTTGTGCCCCCTCCCTACCCCAATTGAAATTGGAGTCGGGAGCACTGCGTCTCCCTTCACAAGCTACAGCAGCACTGTCACTGTGGAGCTGTGTTCCATCCTTTTCCCACAGCCAGAGGGGGGCACTGACTTGGGGTTTCTTCCTCCTGGGTCATAGAGAGCAGAGCAGGGGAGAGACAGGGAGAGGAAGCTCAGCTCTGCACAGAGGCATCCAGGCAGCTGCTGGTAAGTGTGCCAGTATGTGGTTCAGTCTCTGTGTGTGTGTGTGGTGTGTGTGTGTCAGTGTGTGTGGTTCATTCTATGTGCATGTGTGAGTCAGTGTGTGTGGTTCAGTCTGTGTGTGTGTGTGTCTGTTTTAGTCTGTGTGTGTGTTTCAGTCTGTGTGTGTGTGTGGGGGGGATGAGTCTGTGTATGCGGGTGGGGGGGTGGGAGTATGAATTAAGTATGAATCCTGGAGACGCCACTGCTCCAGACACTCTCCATGTAAAATGGTGTTCGTCTTTGGCCATTTTATAGCCTGATATCCATCAATTATTCTTTAACATGCTATTTGTCCTGCTACCTGTCAGTCAGTATACTCTGCATTATTATTGGCTACTCACTCAGAGCTGTGGTTTGTGTAGCTAACATCAGCCAATTACAGAGCACAGGAAAGTGTGACATTATCTCTACAGTATGGACTTCAAGAGTCAGCTAATATCACATATAGACAAACAAACCCGTGAATGCCGACATTCACCACTCAGTATGTGAAGAAGTAGGAATGCACTGCTACCAGGTACACCACAAATGAGATTTTTGAATGACTGAAGAATGCATGAAACTCTTTGATCTGTTTGTCTTTCTTATGTAGGCAACTAAAGTTATTAAAAGTACCATAAATGGAAGATTCCATCCACAAAGCCTCAGAGAATTTGCCACATGACACAAACCAATGGTAAGCCACAACAGAATATCCAGGCTATAGTTTGCTAAATGTTTCATAAAGAAAATAACGCATTCTAGAACACAATGTTACGAACAGATGAGGCAAACACTAATCTATGCCAGGGAAAGAGAGCATTGAGTTAATGTTATGATGGAAGTGTATGGCTAAAATTGGAACTGGCTCATTTTTTAGCTAACACACTCGATGGTCGTAAACCTTGCAATAGGACTCTGTCCTCAAATGTATTATTATAGTAAAGAAAGAATGTTTAGAAGGACAATATTATAAGCCTCCCAGCGGTCCTGATTTCAATGGGACAGTCCCGATTTTCGAGCACTTCAATGGACATGCGCACTATGTTCAGGGATCTAGGACACTACAGACAGCTCTATTGAAACAGAGCTCCCTGCAGGGTCTGCCCTCAGTGAGCTGCCTTTATATAACTGGCAGGTAGACCAGGAAGCCTCCACGCCAAGCTGACCTGCCAGTAATTAGGGTGGACCTGCCCCCTTTCCAGGCAGGTTCGTCACTGGCTCACCCCTCTTACCCTCCTGCCACTGTTAATCACCTGACATATATACAACTACACAAAAACAAAATACAGGATGACTAGAACTGGCTTCACAGAATATCAGTACAGAACATACCCAGCACCTAGTGATATCTGTTGGTCACAAGAACTGATTATGGGTTAGGGGATATTTATCAAAGTGCTCTGAAAAGTGATCGTTAAATACCATTACTATTTTGATAGCGGGTAAGTGATTTAAAAAGTGCCAATTTTTTTCATTGTGAATTCTGCAGTTTTGCACATAAATTTCCATTTTTTACAACCGCTATCTTAATAGGGGCAGGAAAATACGGCAGAAAAATGTGGAAATATTTTGCGCTGGTCAACAAATGTTGAATATAGGTCATTAAAAAAAGGAAGAGATGTAAAAACCCAAATGATTTAATAAATTGCACCAAATGAAAACTGCTGAAAATTAGATGGAAAAATGTTGGTGATAAATCATCCCTTTGGGAAGACTAGATGGGCCGAATGGTTCTTATCTGCCATCACATTCTATGTTTCTATGTTTCTATGTTTTGAATCTTAAAGGATTCCAAACAAGCACTAAATGGGATGACCGTTTAATACTGTCCAATTACTTTTGGCCCGTAACATAGAAGTACTGTGTATAGATAATACTATAATTCCTACACAGGTCAGAGTTTGTGGATGTAAATAGTCTCAAATTAAAGCTGACACCATGCACTTTATCATCCTAATCATTGTTTCATTTCAAATCCAGAATGTTGGAGTAGAGAGCCAAAATTCTGTCAGGTTTACAACAACCTTTCTAAACAATAGCTTGACAAATCCTAGGCTTTCTGAACAATGGTTAGAACTGGAACATTCAAAAAAAAATTTTTTTTAAGTAATTAAATATATATAAAAACTTTGAATCAAAAATGGAAGTGAACTGAATACCTTAGAGAAATTTACATTAATAAAGCATAATAAAATGTCCACATGTGCTAAAAACTTTAATATGGTTCATAAGTTTACAAAGTTAGTTTAGAACACACTAAACTTATATTACGTATATCTTATTCACTGCTTACATTTCCCACTGCTCTGGACCTCATCTTAAAGATTGGCAGCTCACTATAAATATATGTAGCATATTTTGCATCCATTGCAGAAATCAGCAAACACTTGGAGGGTTAAATGTGTGTATTATATGTATCTCCATAAACTTGATACATTACTGACAGAGGACTTCAGAATATGATTCAAAATAAATTTTGTCCTGGAGTTATAGCGGCCTGCTCCCTTCAGTTACACCTCCTGCTATACGGTATATTGAAGTGCAGTGCGTGCACACCTCTCCACAAGTGAGGTGAAGCCTCCTTGCTGTATTGATATATTAAAGGGACGCTATAGGCATCAAAACAACTTTAGCTTAATGGAGCAGTTTTAGTGTATAGATCATGCCCCTGCAGTCTTACCGCTCAATTCTCTGCCATTCAGGAGTTAAATAACTTTGTTTATACACAACAAAACAGCTTCTTTAAGCTAAACTTGTTTTCAAGTCCCTTTAACTATCATGTTTTCTGTTTTCACACTCCCCTTTTTTGATTATTACTTCTATATAGTATTATTAACCATTTGAGGAACATCACATGACAATGAAATATTCATACCTCCCAACTCCAGCATCCAGAGAAGTGGGATGCCAGTGGGTAAATGGGGTGTCACAGGCTCCCAGAATTGAATTACTGGCAGGTCAGGTCAGCCTGGTCTGAACGCCAATCAGCCAGACCAGCACACTGAGGCTAGACCCCGTAGGGAGAACTGTTTCAGTGCTCTCTGCAGGGTCCTATCACCCTGAACATAGCATTTGTGCATCTAATATTGTATCTAACACATTTGTGCATCTAATATTGTATCTAACGCATTTGTGCATCTAATATGTTTATTGGGGACAGTTCCCTGGTGCCCACAAAAGCGCAACACAAAGGAACTAAGTCAGGGCAGAACAGGAAAATAGGTACCGTCCCACCAAAATCTGATGGTTGGGAGGCCTGAATATTTATAATGACGCTGTGCTAATAAAATGATTAAATATCTCTCCCTGTGTCTGAATCTCTTATTTTTTTCCTGAGCTCTCCAGTTTTTATAGAACACATAACGAAAAGCAGGGACTACTTTTGCTTATGTATAGAAACAAAATCTGGCAAAACTAAACAATGGTGAAGTTTAAACATGTCTCCCAAATATCATCCCAATTTTGGCGAAACAGTCCTTATTTTCAGGGTCCTTTCTGAAACAGTGCTCCCTACATGATCCACCCTCAGTTAGCTGGCCTGGATGATTGAAAGGCATTCATGCCAGGCTGACTTGCCAGTATTTTGGGTGGACCCACCCCCCTTGGGCAGAGCAACTGACTCAATTGCGTCATTGGGCTGCCATTTTACCACCCATCCCACAGGTGTCCATCTCTCAAGATGGTTCAAGCAATGTTCTATTCCAGCTGCCAATCAAATTTACCCATAATCCATCATTAAAATTAATGGGTACCATGGGCAGAGGAGAACAAAATGGCTGCCCCTGATTGAGATCCGGCACAAAGAGAGTAGCAAGGGCTCAGTATAATTATTGAGATAAACGGCATATGGAAAGCAAAACCAAAAAAAAAAAAAAAACATGACAGAGCCGCTTTAACCTAGTGTCTCTCTCAGAACCCTTTTTGACTGTTGCCAAGCTACCCTGCTGTGATACAAGACTTTCAGCATCCTGTGAAAAGTCCAAAATGGCTGTCAGCAGTGAGGCTTTCAAGCTGCGAAAATTGCCGAGATTGTTCATAGCCAGACAATTTTAATTCTTATGACACATCATGAAATGCACATATCTGATCACGTTATCACATATAAACCATATGTTAGCTGCTATGATGTATAGAACACATTTTTTCTCAGCCAACATCTCAGGGAAGCCCTTCAAAAATAATTACACGCTCACTCCATGAACTAAGGCTTGCCGATAAAGGGAGGGGGAGTCTTTTCAAATTCTACACCAAGGGCACTTATTTAGGCTAATTTATATAAAGTATAACATTTATAGTTACCATCGCCGAATATAAAAAATAATTTTCAATGGAATTGTTAAAAGTGTACAGGGATGTGAGGCTACTGGCAGACATTGCGTTCCAGATGGGAAATCATACTGAGCTATTGTTAAAGGATCAAGGTGTGACCGCTATTCTTTTCTATGACTACCATATGTCTGGCAAATCTTTAGTATAAACAGGTGTTCATCTTCACTTCAGTGCTCAAAGGTTACTTGTGTACAGCTCAGTCAACAGATGCATGTAATGTGTCTATAAAATAAAGCGCAAATAGTGATGAACTATACATACATACTTTTTTTTTAGAAATTGATATGAAAACGTCGTCCATTACAAAATTACACTTGATAAATCTTTTACAGATTTAAAAATCCCCAAATTGTCGCCATGGAAATTTAATTAATGACCCGTTTCAAAACATAGCTTGTTACTGGGATAATCCTTCTAGTTCTAGAATTCTGCAAAAAACAAGAATGCATAAAATCCGCCTGCAAATGGAATAATTGTTGTGCAACACTGTGGTTTCAATTTAACTGGATAAATGCACCATATATGTATGTTTTTATTTATTTTTTTAACTCTTATACTACCAGTATCAATTTGCTATTAATTAGTGATTGCAATATAAAAGTATGTAATCTAACATGGCTATTCACTAAACTGAGAATTGCCAATAATTCAAAGTGAATTTCAAATTTAAGGCCAAAGTAATTGAGCTTGAAGCAAAGATGACTGGGAGAATGTTTTCCATTTCAGCTACCTTGGCCCTAAATTTGAAATTCACTTTGACTTCCCAATTATTCTCACTTTACTGGATAACCTTGTAAGTATATGACATGACAATAAGTTATGGAATCAATTGTACGTGTCACACGTCAGCATTGATGGGAAAGGCTTTGCAGACTATAACAGAACAAAATGCTAAGAAGACATGGGCAAGATGGAGGCATTATAAGTTATGGGGTCCAATAGTTTGCCCACCTTGTGATCTAACACATTTTTATTCAGATTGTAAAATAGAGAGGTTTCAAATGGGATTCCAATTAATGATGTCCAAAAAATTACTATAAACTATTTTTATTAGCTCATTATTTTAGGTATATGGTTCTCCCATATAAATATTACAATTGCATAGACTTGCACATATAAGGCTCTTTGGCACAGTGATAGTTGAAGCATCATATAGCTATAACGTATGAATAAATGTGAATAAATATGAATTGATGTCAACTGAAGAGATTTATAGAGCTTTTAGATGATAGATATGTGCTTGTTTTTTTATGTAATGTGTGCAGAGTCTGTTGTGTGTTGCATTTCGGCAAGCCATCTGTCCCAGTGACCTCTGGATTTCTGAAACAATTTAGTAAATATAGAATACTGTAATATAATGCCAGATCACCTTGTCAAACACTGAGACACTTTGAGCAAAAAAAAGCAAAAACAAAGAAAATTGCAGAGAGTGCCAAAGTTAAAGGTGGGACATTCTGAATGGCCGCATTGAGTGGCAAATTCATATTGGATGTGATCCCTTGACTCAATTTATGTTACATCACAACTAGTAAATTTAATTAAATATTAAGCTAAAATGAAATCTACACAAACAAGCAATGCAAAAATGACCACAGCCTGGAAAGTTTGTCTCAGACTTTGAGTGCATGAGTCATTTTTCCAGATTATGACTGTTTACCTATTTGGAGAGAAAAGTGATAAAATAAACAGGTAACCGTTTCTTCCCAAATAAAGTTCATGTATATAGCGCCATTTGTGCACCTTTTAATACTGAAACCAATTGGTGGATTTGCAAACCTGATGTATGCAAATTAATGGCAAGAGCAAACAGGTATCTTAAAATCACAGGCAGCCAAAGGACTCCAAAGGTAAATACATCACTAAATAAAAATTAATGTGGCATAAAGACATCATAATAAAATTACTGTTTAATGGAATAATTCAGTCATTGCAGAAAAAATGATGCATCTTTTTTTCCAAATGCCCCTGGTGGTTTTACATGGAAATCCAGCTAAAAAAAAAATTCAGATACCTCAGTCCATTTGCCCCTTAAACATTGACAACTTAAAAAAAAGCATTAGAAATACAACTATGTAGATAAATTATAAGGAATTTTTGTTCCATATTGCAACAACACTGTAAAGTAAAGGGATATTACTTCTAAAAACAAGCAAGTTTAGATGGTTTAGAAATTGTTGTATGCCCTTTTTTGCTTTGATGCACACAATTGCGAACGTATTAGCATAGTGAATATACATGTGCAAGATTGTACAACACGAATAAACACAGCTGTCTATACGCTACACAGTGAACTGTGGAGAGTTTATGTCCAAATTGAAAAAAATTAGTATTGCATTTAGATATTGGAAGTGAAACTATAAATTATTAAAGCAAATTTTTACAATGATTTTTAAAAATCGAATCTAGGTCTAACTACTTATGCCTCATTTTATCACGACTGAAGCCACATCAACAAAATTTAAACACAAACCCACATTTCTAAATGCCAATTCAAAGGCCATGAACACTCAGAATGCTGTGGATCCACAAACAGTGTAAAAGCACTCAGCGCCTAATTCTAACCAATAATCCCATAACATCAAAGCTAACCCATTACTCAAGAATGATGGCAGTTGGAATCCCTATCAAATATCATTAACTCCTCTAACCTAAGCATTAATTCTAGCTCCAACTTCCATTTTCTATTGAACACCTCAAGAACCTCAGCATATTTAGAATCCGCCAGAAGCTTTGTGATTTCCAAAATATGCATACCTCCAACATTTCAAATAAACATTTCAAATAAACTTTCATTTTAGGGGTGTGACTGGGGTGTGGTCAGGGGCGAGGATGTTCTGAGAAATTTTAGGCGACTTACTAATAACAATTTATGCAACTGAAATGTAACTTAGATCAAGAACAATGTGTCTTATTCACACAGACTGATTTCTAAACACATTTATAAAGATACATTAGTGGGAGTATTATTGCTGTAGAGCTCTGAAATTCACTCAGACACACAGACAATACGGAGCTCCTAAAAAAGAAGGAGATTATGAGAGAAAACAGGGGCTGCGGAATGCGTGTCCAAAATAAATGACTGCCCATCCAAAATAAAGGCACTTGGGTGGTATGGAATATGGAATGGTTTTTCTTAACCCTTTAGGAAAGGATAAAAACTAATATTGAGAATAATTGGAGGAAGATGTTAACTTAACAGTTTTATACAAGGCTTTTATCCAGAGAGCATAACAAAAGGCAACAATTACTCATAGTTTGAGTTACAGAAAGAGGGAATTATAATTAAATATACTGGAATACAAAGAAACAGAGTACCCTATCGTAAACCTTAATCTGATTTAATACATATATAGATATGCAAAACTGTGAGGTATTCCATTAATCTTACTGAGAACACACATTAGAATAGTGTATTATTAAGCTTCACTGGGGACTGGGGTACTTGTTGTATATATTCCCGCCAGCCAATGTGAGGGTTTCCTAGGATGGCTGCAGTTTTCTTAGTTCCTGTTTCCCGTCAGTGATGTAGTTCTGGTTATTTTATGTCCAGAATTCTCTCACTGTATGGAGGGAGTATAAATAACAAATACAAGATTTACTGGGTTTATTTGTCTTATTCCCACTCAGGGCTGGTGTCAAGTTTTGGGGGTTTTAGTGAGTGAGGCAGTATAGATTAACAGGAAGCAAATTCACCACTTTTATTGATTTTGGGGGGGGGGTATTTTTGCCCTTTTTTTAACTGGTTGATCATTTTTTCCCCCTCATGTTTAAGGGTGAATTGGCAAGAGGGGCTAAAATAGCAAACCAGCCGGAAATGTTATTAGTAGAATGTTTTATTGCCTGCCTTGTGTCATTAAACTGTGCCTGTTGTCTTATTTCGTCAGCAGTTTGGTCGTTAGAATGCACCTGTCTTGGCCAAATGACAGTGATGCACTTTATAGAGATGTCAGTTTGGTCTACACGTGCAAGCTAAGGTATAGAGTTAAACAGTAATCAACCCTCTTAGCAAAACTGTTTCATAGAAACATAGAATGTGACGGCAGATAAGAACCATTCGGCCCATCTAGTCTGCCCAATTCATTGTAGACATTTGCTACATCCTTAACACAATATATAGAAAAGTTATTTCTTGGTATAAGGGCTCATTCCTCCTGCTGGTAAAAATTCACAAGAGAGCATAATGAACAATAAATTGGATTTTGTATATGTGGTTGGATACTGATAGAGTATCACATTTTGTATGTCCTCTACTGTTGGCCAAATATGTTATTTATTAAGATAAAGAGACAATGAGACTTGAGGTTGCTGGCTATACTTTAGTGTTGTACAAAAAAATTACATTACCGATCACCAGGCTTCCCAGAAGGCCTGAAGGCAGTTAGTCACTCATGTTTTCATTAAAATTGATTCTAGCAGTATGAATCTGAAGTCTTGAACACTTGTAGTGCATTTTCACCGATCTGTGTTAATGTGCAGAGTTACAATGGGGAGTTAGAATTTTGGAGATCGGTTTTAAAGTTGGAGCCATCACCATGGAGACCACTGGAACATTCAGGATGATTGTTCCAATCTTAGAATTTTGCCCCTTTATGGCTCTTTCTATTAAACCACCATGTTATGGCTTTCCCAAGAAATCATACTTAAAGAAGAAAGGTCCCAAATGTACACTTGTATGAGCAGGGTCCTCAACTACCTATTGATCCGGTTACACTTTGTTATTGTCTGATTTGGTAAATTCCCCTTTTATTGTAAAGCGCTGTGGAATAAGCTTGCGCTATATAAATACCAATAATAATAATAATAATAATAATATGCACGGTTTTGGTCTCAGATAATTAGGAGTTAGTAATTAAATGGTATTACATTCATACAGAATCTCGCATTAGGATCAAGACAGGAAAAAACATTTAAAGATTCATAATAACTGGTATGAACTGTTTCCAGTGAGACAGATCTGGTAATAAGAGACAGTTAATCAGAAAACACACATTTCAAAAAGGGATAAATCTATTTCTACTGTAGTTTACATTAAGCATAGTAGGGAGATGCTCAGGGTGTGTTGGGATGGGGAGGGGAAAGGGCTCAAAGATTGTTTAAAGACATACTAACACTTACAATGCATACAGAACACTGCAAATATTAAAACTACATTAGTCATGATATGTTGGTTATTCTGATCTCAAGTCTCAAACTTGTCACACATATAAGTGTGCTTAACCGTTTATTGCCTGCAACGGAATTGTCAGGAATGCAAAGTGAATATAACATTCCAGGACTAAATAGCCAAATTGAAAGCATAGCTGGCTTAGAGAATATTTCCAGTTCGGCTATTTTGGTGTTAAATTTAAAATTCACTTTGAATTTCTGACAATTTTCCCTTTAGTGAATAACCCTGATTATGTATAAGGTATTAGCAATTGTAAAGTCCTGTAGCCATAATTTCATATTTGCATGTATTTTATAATAGCATACAATACAGACAGAGTTGATCAACGCTTTTAACGACTTTCAAGTTTACACCAATATTTCAAGGTGGAAAACTATTGCTAAGTTTTCCCCCAAAAATCTGTTGTTGGTGAATAGGCCCAACCAGTCGCACCACTGGCATTTGTGAATAGAACTGAACCTAAAACGCAGTATAATTAATGTTGCGAAGAAAATGACTAAAAATATATAAGATTAAGGCTTTGGAAACATGTTCTTAAAGAAATAGTTAGACCTATAATTGCATTAGCCTGAATTCACTTATAAAAAGAGCCATACATACATTGTGTTACATTTTTTTTCACACTATGGCTTTCTTGCAGTGACCCCAGCACACAAGTTTATCAGTTGTAACATATGCAGGAATTAGATAATGGAAGCGTTAAACAATATCACATCCTATCAAAAACAATGAATTGGTGGCACCTAAATGAAGTAATCCTGGGCTATCTGCCTGTTCCCTTCTCTGCTAAATATTATACACTCAAAGCACTGATGTTTGCCCATTTTTACTACTAAACTGCTGATTACCTTATCACACATTGAATCTGATTCAATTATTTACATATTTATTCTAAAAATAAGATTGGTGCTCCTCCACCCTAAAAAAGTAAAACTAATTGCGCACGTGATTCATTAAAAAAAGTATGTGAAGCTGGAATAGGATTTCACACAATACAGCCTACAAGATATAAGCTTAGTGTTAATGTAAGCGTTAAAACTGCATTGTGGCAGCTATTGGACATGAGCATGCACACACCAGGAGGGCATGCAGAGGAGCAGATTTAGGTGCATGTAGAGGGGCAGATTTATATGCATGAGCATGCACACACCAGGAGGGCATGTAGATGGGCAGATTTAGATGCATGAGCATGCACACACCAGGAGGGCATGCAGAGGAGCAGATTTAGGTGCATGTAGAGGGGCAGATTTATATGCATGAGCATGCACACACCAGGAGGGCATGTAGATGGGCAGATTTAGATGCATGAGCATGCACACACCAGGGGGTCATGTAGAGGAGCAGATTTAGGTGCATGAACAGGCATATACAAAGAGGGCAAAGAACTGGTATGAAGAGGGGCAAGCATAGGTGGTCATGGAAAAGGACACAAAAGGCGGCCTGGAGACAGCGCTGACACAGGGGACCTGTGAAGTACACACAGGTAAAGCGGTGTGGAGCACTCAAGAGGGCATAGAAAAGGGCACACAAGGAAGGTATGGAGGGGCACACACAAGGAGTAAAGGAGAAGGACACCAGAGACAGGTGTGGAGGGGGGACACAAGGAGGGGGTGGAGAGGTGCACACATGTTGAGCTGAACTTGCTCAGCAACTCAAAGCTTTTAATGAACAAAACTGCTGTCAAGTGCTGTACTACATATCTCAAACCCTGCACTGGCCAGAATTGATGGCATATACTTGGGGAGTAGTGAAAGCCCCAAGATTGGCAGATATGCTTTAGCCACTTCCTGGTTTGAGAGGCACTAGCCAAAGGTGTCATTTTATTGTTTGCATAGCTTCAATGCAATATATATATATATATATCTTGGTATAAATACACGTATATTAATGTATATATACACACAGAAGTTGGTCTTCCATGTAATATTACATTATACCACAAGTCATATGCATTTTTCTGTATTATGTACAGGTTAGTCTGGCCATTAGGGATTATTGAATTATAATGGACATTTTAAATAATGTGTTTCTTATCTATGCTGGTCAGTACTGTCAGCTCTAGTATAGACATACATATGTGGTCTACAGGTCAGTGAGTTATATTAATTTTGGCCAGTCTGCATAGGAGGTCTATTAGTTGATTGGACTTACAATAAACTTATAATACACTGAATATACGAGTGAGCTCTCCTAATACTGGCCAATTCGTATAAATGCTCTTATATTTCAGGGGTCTATTCTAATAGCGACTGCAATTACTTATCACTGGTCTCTTTTAATAATGACCATTCTGGTTAGTCTTACATATGGATGGTCATTTCTTACATTGGCCAGTCTGCTTACCGGGCTATACTAATACTGGCCAGTCTGCTTAACGGGCTATACTAATACTGGCCAGCCAGTAGGTAAGCTGCCAAACTGTGGAACATGTATCTGAGCAGAGCACCCTTGCCTTGGCAGAGATGTATTCTGTCTGAGACCCCCCTCCCACTCACCCCAAAGACCTGGCACTCAGACACCAGCCCTACCTGCCGCGGAGTCGTGGCTGTCCTTATCCGGCCTTTCGTGTGGCGCCCCCTCCTGTCTGTCGTTATTACACACACCCTGGTCCAGCCTGGCCTCGGCGCTGGAGCAGCAGTAACGCAGGACGCAGGTACCGCAGCAGATGGTGGCATCGTCCCCATCAAAACGCTCCGGGCACTGGAATCCGTCCCTCCACACCGCCTGGGCATCCACCCACCCGTGACAGTACTCACCGCTCCCCCGGGCGGCTGCCAACACTGCCAGCAGGAAGGAAGCAGCTGCCAGCAACGCTAGAGGGGTGCCCTCTGCCCACATGGCTTGGGGCTGTGAACACACCAGATCCTCCCGCCTCTTTGATGCCCAGCCTGCTTCCTTGAAATACTGGAGCTACTGGCACAGTAAACTTGCAGATGCCCCAGTATGGGGTTAACCTGGAGACAGGGGCTGCAGTGAGGGGGCAGATGCCTTGTGAGCTCTGACTTGGATGAGTTGAAGCAGCTGTCTGAGGATTAGGGTTAAATATCCCTTGCAACCCTGAACTCATCCAGTGCCCAAATTTCTTCCTGTCCTGGAGATCACAGCTTGGAGAAAGACAACAAGTTAGCCTGCAGCTGGCACAACATGCACACACAAAACTCCACCATAGAAAATCCACTTTTTGGGGGGAGGAAATAATTTTAAAAGAGGTCACTGCAGTCAGGGGTCCCTCAGATATGACTGATCAGGAGAGAGCAGATACTTGTTTCCAGTACGAGAATAATCCGAACGTTGAGAATTCCTTCCTTCTGGGAGAAGTTTGCTGAGTATTCCACAGTTTAAAGGTCCAGATCAGCATCCTCAGTCAGTCCCATGCTGGTCTATGGACCCTTTGAATTCCAGCCACATCCTGAGACATCCACAGGGAGAGAAGTAAATTGCCCAAAGAGAGAGAGAGGGGAGACAGCAGAGAAGCAGCAGTGGGTAAATGGTGAGCGCTTGGAGGGGAGACTCTTGAACAGGCTGCCAGTTGTCAGCAGGGAAGCAACTGGCCCAGGAGCAGTGTGTGGAGAAAGCCCTGTCACACCTCCCTCCCCTTGTCTGTAAATAAACTGCTCTCTCCTGTACATCGCTCTTATAAGCCTTCACAGGGCACGCATGTGCACTAACACACACAGCCCTAACTGAAAGTTAGTTATAGGAACTGCTTGCAATCAACATTTAATAAACTATTACAACAGGGGTTCTGGAACTTGTTTTTTTGACTGGGTCCCAAATAACATAAGCAGGAAAGTACTTTCTTCATTTGTAAAATTAACTAAAATACATATTCTTCTAATATAACCCAGACTCGCAGAATTGAGCACAAAACATTTATTTTAGGATGTGCATCAGGTAGAGTTTATAAAGGTTAACATTTATTAATTGCTATATTTTAATTCTTCATACTATAGTGTATTTTTTTACAATTACCAGCTTTTTATTAACTTAGAAAAACTAAACATTTTGCTTGGTGATCACTAGGCTTATACAACCATAAACAGAGGGCTGTATTCACAAGAAGTAATATGAAACTCAAATGGCAAAATTTAGACTAAATCAGCCAAACTGTGAGCAGATTGGATAATTTAGCAAAATCAGCTATTTTGGCCTACATTTTACCATTCATGTTTGAATTTACTACAATTAGGGGTTTAGTGAAATAAAACCTTAAGTTTTCAATTACATTTTTAATAAAGAATTTAAAATATATATATATAAATAAATCAAGAGCAGCAGGGAGAGCAGACATCCCTGAAGGGGCTCCTATTCCATTCTTGATAGCGATCTGTCGTGACAACCCCGTTGTCTTATCCTTGCCATAGGGCAGGTATATAAAACACACATCACGAGCCAAAGCACAGTGACGCAATGTAGCCATCATAAATGTCCAGTCCACCTAGTTGAATGCTTTTTCAGCATTTGTAAACAGGAAAAGTAGAGGGTTGCCAGAATGTGTGGCTTCATTCACTATGATTAGCACTCTAATTATATTAAATTAAAACCCCTTCAGTGACTTACCTAAATCCAGCACTGATGTCCCTCAGTGCTGGGTCAGGCTCTGCCCACGCTTCTCCCCCGCCTATGGGGAGGTCTAACATAAAAGGTAGAATGTAGGCCAAATAGCTGATTTTGCTAAATTATCCAATCTGCTATCGTCAGAGGAGCCATTATTCAATGCTTTCCTATGGGAATTCCGGCAATGCTTTTAAGAAGCTGGAAGTTCCTCTAGTGGCTGTCTGGTAGACAGCCACTAGAGGAGGACTTAACCCTGCAAGGTAATTATTGCAGTTTATAAAAATTACAATAATTACACTTGCAGGGCTAAGGGTCATGGGAGTTACATAGCTGAAAAGAGACTTGCGTCCATTAAATTCAGTCTTCCTCACATTTTTTTTTGCTGTTGATCCAAAAGAAGGCAAAAAAAAAAACCCAGTTTGAAGCACAATTTTGCAACAAGCTAGGGAAAAAAATCCTTCTTGACCCCAGAATGGCAGTCAGATTTATTCTTGGATCAAGCAGTTATTACCCTACATTGAAAGATTATATCCTTGAATATTCTGTTTTTGCAAGTATGCATCTAGTAGCTGTTTGAACATCTGTATGGACTCTGATAAAACCACTTCCTCAGGCAGAGAATTCCACCTCCTGATTGTTCTTACAGTAAAAAAAACCTTTCCTTTGCCTTAGACAAAATTTTCTTTCTTCCAGTCTAAACGCATGACCTTGTGTCCTATGTAAAGTCCGATTTGTGAATAGATTTCCACACAATGGTTTGTATTGGCCCCGAATATATTTGTATAATGTTATCATATCCCCTCTCAGGCGACGTTTTTCTAAACTAAATAGTTGGCTGTCTTCTTCTTCCCATTTGAGTGGTCTGGGTGCCTGGAGTGTCCCTTTAAGACAAGCTAAATGGTGTGGTAGCAACACTGGGCCAAAAGCTTTATAGTACCTATATGATAGATCATCTGGCCCGGGAGCATTTCCTGTCTAAAAAAGCTTGAGAGATGTCTCCAGTTCTACCTTCATGATGGGTCCCTCCAATGACTCTACCATCTCTGGCTAAGTTGGCGGTTAACTAATTTACTTAATAATTAAGTTTGTCAAGTAGGAAAACCCCCACTTTAATAAAGTAACCCCAGATGAAGCACGTATGTGCCCCCTCGAGTTTCGATACGACCTGTGCGCCATTATCCTGAAAGTGTTGTGATATCTCCATGTTGACTTGTGTCCTGCAGATAAGAATAATTAAACCCCCAGTAACACTCCACAGGGCGGTACAGTGGGACCTGCTGCCTCATGCCCATTGGGGAATTGTGTAACCAGGTGGAGGCACCAATATCAGCACTAACCAAATGGAAGTGAAACTACTGAGCCACAAAGATATAGTCAACTTGATTATAGGATGAGTAAACCTGAGAGAGAAGGTAATAATCCCTGCTTTTGGATTTTTTACCCTTTCAGCCTGTTCAGGGACATCTGAATCTGAGGAAAATTTTGCCCAGGGTGGTGGCTATAACCCACTGATGTGACCACCAGTGCCTCCCAGAACATGTACAGTGCCTCCAGGAACATTGTAAAAACTATTTTTTCCTAAATATTAAAATGTCAAAAAATAAATCATATACAAAAATTTTAAAATATATATTTTTAAAATCTAAATATTGTTAGAATATTTTAAAAGTGTATCCAAAAATCAAGTCCATAATTAGGGGCTTTACAGTCCACCCTACTTCTCTACTTTTTCAATTGTCTGCTTTCCTGGACATTCACCTGTTGCTCCTTTTTCTCCTCAATAACGTGTTGTAATAGTTTGTTAGTTGTTTTCTGTAAAATCCCCATATTAAATTTGTATAGACGTGCAGAATATCTTGGCACCATATATTTTCCAGTAATAATTGCATTCACAAACCAGAATTTGGGGATTGCAAATTTCAGACTAAAATTGTATAGTTGGAGAAATAGCTAATGGAACACTCCACTGTCCAAAATTTTTTTTTTTTTAAATCAACTGTTGATGCAGCTCAATAAGAAATATTTGCAAGGGAAGTGCTATGGGCAATTTCTGCCTCTTAAAGTCAGCTAGCTCCACTGAGCTATACAAACCAGGAAGTAACAGGACTTATCTGCTTGAAAGCTGTAGGGGTGTAACAAGGTTATTTTTTATAAAAGTGCAAATACCTATTAAAATCAACTTTTTTTGTAAAATGAAAAAAGGAGGACACACTCGTTACACAGAGGATTTCAGCAAGCTAAGTTACCTTAGGGGTCCAAAGTGTTTATTTAGATTGGAAAATGTTCTTTTTTCATTTTCATTTCAGCTATATTGGCATAAAGTTTGAAATTCACTTTGACTTTTAGACAGTTAACACAATTATTATTATTATTACTATTTTATCATTTATATAGCGCCAGAAAATTCCATAGCGCTGTACAATGGGTGGTCTAACAGACACGTAATTGTAATCAGACAAATGGACGCACCGAAACAGAGGGGTTGAGGTCCCCGTCTCAATGAGCTTATATACAATTAACCATGCATGAATAATATGACGCAGATTTTAATGGTAGCAGCCATGATGATATGTTTATATTTATAAGACAAGATTGAAAATACAAGTTCATACTTAATGCAAGAAAAAATTATTTGTTAGGCATCCTACGTAACATTTCAGATGTATATTTTTTTTCTCGCAAAAGGACTGCTTTCTCGTCTGTGGGATGCTTTTTATGATGTCAGACTATATATTTTATGGCTTTGGAAATATGTATTGAATAGCAGTTTTAGCAAGATAAATGTCCAGAACTTGTCCCAGCTCAGTGATTTCATCTGAAGCGTTTCCCTGGATTATCTATAAAAGCTTGCATACTGTAAGTACGCCGTCCATACACAGGACGACTCATATGGGAAAACATTTGGACAAATGGCTCGTACACGCCAAACGCTCTCCGGTCTATTTTTGCTTGCAGGAAGTGATTTAGTTGCAGACGGATTAATATATCAGTAGGATATAATATGACTAGAAAAGATCAAATACCCAGTCAACCACAAATTGCTGAAAAGTCCGCTATTAATCCTGCGTCCAATGTAATGTGTTTGTGAAAAGGAACAGCCTTTGTTTGGTGTTTTCTGGTGTTCTCCTATTTATTTGTTAACAATGAGTTGCACGGAGTCAAGAACGGGGTTGTAAACTTAATGCCGCTAGTCTGGAACTGAAACAACAATACTTTTTGAGAGATGCGCATCATTTTATTAATTGATTTGTAACTGCAATAACTGCAGCGAGGCATGCAGGCTGCCTCGATCGGCGAAAGCGAGTCACTAGTTTTTATATGAAATTGATAAAGGGGATACTAACTTGGTCGTCTCCACTGATTTTATATGAAAACAAGGCTCTGTCTTTTCAGCAGGAGTGAGAGAGACCCGCTACCTGACAGCAGCTGACAGCCACAGCTGACATACAGCAAGCAAAAACTAATTAAAGAGGAACTGTCACTTGGTTGAGTTTAGCACAACCAAATAACTAACTAAACGTTAGCTGTTGGTTGTGCACATTTTTTTTCTCTCTTGATAATTTAACTTACATACTTTGCTGGTTAATCTTTTACTTTCACTTCACATCCTTGTTTCAGCATCTCCGCTCGAGAAAGTTCTGAGCGTGCATTATGGGTTAGCGGAGAAGCTAAAAAAAAAGATGTGCAGTGTGCAGTGAAAGTAAGAGATGATACACTAACTTTACAGGTGGACACGACACCAATGACGCTAATAAAGGTGCACACGTGCACATCAGTTACATAGTTACATAGCTAAAAAGAGTCATGCGTCCATCAAGTTCAGTTTTGTTGTTGATCCAGAAGAAGGCAAAAAAAAAACAGTTTGAAGAGTTTCCAATTTTGCAACAAACAAGGAAAAATGTACTTATTGACCCCAGAATGGCAGTCAGATCTCTCCTTGGATCAATAAGCTATCACAAACAAATTCAGTTGGCCCCTCACCTCCTTTAAACATTCATTGATCAAACTAACATTTCAAATTGGACAACGAAAAGGGACATTTAAATTTTAGGTGTCATGAATAAAGGTGTGGTCATGAATGAGACTCTTTGAAACGTTTGGAT